TGAGTAAAACTATCATCATGTCATACACAGACAGAAATGTAAATGTATTCACGGCAACCCGTCAAAATAAACGTTCGGTTTAACTTGAGGGCATTGGCAGAAATATATTATTATTGTTGAGTAGACTGTACGTAACAGACCGCTACTACTACTACTAAAATTATTAAAACCTTATATTTAAGGAATAAGCATTCAATATTTCTTCAATGTTTTAATTGTAATATTAAATTACCTTTATTTTCCAAAAAATTAAATTTGTTTAATTTTCATTACTTAAAAGATAGATTAAATGAATGTTTTATGCCTTAAAACAAAATGTAAATACACAACACAGAATTTCTGAGCAAAAAAATCATAAGGCTATTGTAAGAATAAATTAAACTTGTTTTATGCTTTCAAATTAGACATGCTAAAACAGAATTTGGTTACAATAAAACATAAGGTTGGACAAATAAAACATTTTATAGGGCCCTAAACGTAATATTTGTTAAACTTTTAATAAATTGATGTTAAATTGTTTAAGTTTCATGATTTTAATTAATTAGACATGCTTTTTGATTAATAAAATGTAATTTAACCATTAAAAAGGAGTCCAGAAAAAAAACAAAAAAACCGGCATCTACCCCCCCCCCCCAAAGCCGTAAACCTAGGGGAAACACTGGTGCTAGAGCAGCATGCATGCTGGGTAATTTAAATAGTCTTGAGGTTTGTCAGTCTAACAATGATGGGTTTGCAATATGAACATGGTTAGCTTGGGCCACTTCTATAAACCCATCAGGCACTTGGAAATTCTTAAAGGGTTTTTAATCCTGTGCATCATATATCAGTTGTCCTGATTATTTTGATTTGTATATTGTTGCAACATCACACCCAATCTAGATTAGTCATCGGGTTTTACACCTCAGTTGGCTGATTTCACTATTTGATTATGTAAGATGGTGAAGTATTTGCTCATTGAAATATATAAAGCTGTAAGCCTTAGCCTTCTCATTTGTGTCTGTGCATTCTGGTGTAAAATAATTTGTAGTGTAAGTAGCAGAGTGCACGTGTTGAGGCTGTGACCTGTAGTTTATCACAGCGTGCGGACTCTCACCCTGAATGTTTTTCTCTCACCCGTATTTAAGTCAACTCCTCATTAGTGAGACGGCAGACGTTAATATCACCGTTGGGGGGGCGGGCCGCCCCCCTAAAATAATGGCAGGGGAAACACGGGCTCCGAATGATCACCCGTGAACATCACCCACCACTGCTGTGGCCCCTTTGAGATAACGAGGCCCACATAAGCATTCAGACCTGCGCGCACACAGATACACACATGCAGACTCACATAGGTTTGTTTGATATCTTCCGTTGGTTTGTTATACACAAAACTCTCTGGCTTTCATTGTCCTCTTCTTGCAGGCCAACTCCCGACTGTATTTGATCTTTTTTGTCTTTAGTTTCTGTTATTGGTTTGTTCATGTGGTTTCCATGTCAATGAGGACCAGGGACTTCGGTTCAGATCTGGCCTTTTTAAACGGCTCCACACAAAAACTATCCCCTTCGCCCCACACAACCGCAATGGGCGGCAGGCACGCGAGACTAAAGTATATACTGGCCTTTATGAGAACAGAGTCTTGAGAGGCGTTTTTTTTAAGCCACACGTCACACTAATTAACAGCCCTAAATCTCAGACAGCCTTTTAATCTGGTCTCAGTGGCTTCCTTCCTGTTTCTCTTTTTGCGTTGGAAATGTTGCAAAGAACTTATTTTATTGACTATAGGTGCACACAGAGTTTATCATTGAAAGTTGGGAATTGGATATATGATTTATCTGTAAATCTTTTATGTTTAACAACAGCATATGATGAAAGTGTAGTGTGTGCTAGACTATTTGTAGCTGTCAAGAGCTGAATGTGTTAATACATAGTACCACTGCAGTATAGATAAAAATGTTTACCTCTAGCCCAATTCCTCCCACTGTGTGTACGAGATAGTATGTTTGAGAACAACAAACATTTCCAACTTCTTTAGGATGAAAAAAAATTATTGTTGTATCACTTTTATTTCTTACAGAGCATTTGGGGGTTGATGTAATTTTGCAGGTCAACATGGTTCCCTTGACAAAAAGCCTGGTATATTTCCAAGGATATTTCCATTAGGTTTTGGACTACAGAAAATAATATATATATATTTTTTTTACATGTTGTGTTTATCAAGATACTGAACAAATGGACTGCAAGGTCACATGACTTTAATGTCACCACCACTTTTTGTGTTTAAGTGTTCTTTAAAATCTTTAAGTTCCTGTAAAAGCAGACTAGTGAGTAGATAAGTTAATGTGTTCGGTGAGATTGACGTTTAATGTTCTTGACAACTTTTGTAGTTTTTGTAGTCACTTGTTAGCAACCACCTTTTTCAAGACTTAAAGGCATAAAACAGATTATTAGTATAATGTATTTTATGTCAGAATAAAAGATGAAAATATCTTGAGCTTCAGAAGTTATTTCAAAACTCATTGACTTTGGGGTGATGGAACTGGATGCTCAAAAATGCTACCTTGTTTCGGCGTTTTTGGACTCATTCCTGCAGCACTCTATTCAACCCAACCTTGATCACCATAAATAGATTATCACAGATTTGAAAATTGCAGTCTCACAGCAGTATGAGATATGTGTTGAATAAACATTATGAATGGGAATTGCACAAAACTCATTTTCAGTTTCAGTTGCTTTAGAGAAGTCTGCTTGTGTTGAGTCGTGTGTGGAAAAAGGAATACACCGTTTCTGACAACTGCAAGTCAGATGTATTGATGGAAGGCATGATTTAACAGCAGAAAAAGGCATTCGTCATCACCTCCATTTTGAGTCACCTTGGGTAATGTATAACTTCTATAGATAGTGTACACTAAAATGGATGACAGGTGAGTCGGCAAAAAATCAACAGCACTTGTAGTTATGGGTTAACCATTATGTTCAATACTAAAAGCAAATGTAGGTATTTTATTATTATTCTTTTTTTTTTTACATTATTTGTACTGCATGTATTGCAGATATGCATCTATTTATGCTTTATATTTCTATTATATATTATATTATTGGGTGTTTGGAGATGGCCATGGCATAATCCTGAGAGGTCTGTGTCATTGAAATAATCTTGAATCTGATTTCGCTATGAAACTGTTACTGCGAGGAAGAAATCCTACTTTTTAGGAGGTCTTTTTTATATAAACATTCATGCTTGGGAAATTCAGCTGGACAGTTTCCAGGAGCTGAGGGTTTGGCAGCACTGTTGTGCCACACTTCTTGATGATTTTCTTTTTATTACGCCTTTGATATTTAGGCCATCAGTTACACCAGATGCCTATTTTTACCTCAGTATACAAACCCAGAAAGTAGCTGCTGTTATTTATTTTAATCCTAAAATAGCAGCCTGATTTTCAGTAGAATCATAGTTTGGGCTA